TACCAAGTGGAGGATATGCACGCAGCGTGCCCTCGAAAGAGAGCGTGGCAGCTTCGTGGCACTCCCTAGAGTGGTGGGACAAGAAAAGAAGCCATTCCAAAGGCCGGCAACACATTGTTCCTTCAGGCAGATCTCACCACTTGGTCTGCTCTTATAGATCTCTTCTGTCTGTACTGGAAGGGGTCTGTACAGAAGGGGTTCCAGCCACCCAGCAGATCTCACCACTTCGTCTGCTCTTATATATCTCTTCTGTCTGTACTGGAAGGGGTCTGTACAGAAGGGGTTCCAGCCACCCAGCAGATCTCACCACTTCGTCTGCTCTTATATATCTCTTCTGTCTGTACTGGAAGGGGTCTGTACAGAAGGGGTTCCAGCCACCCAGCAGATCTCACCACTTCGTCTGCTCTTATATATCTCTTCTGTCTGTACTGGAAGGGGTCTGTACAGAAGGGGTTCCAGCCACCCAGCAGATCTCACCACTTCGTCTGCTCTTATATATCTCTTCTGTCTGTACTGGAAGGGGTCTGTACAGAAGGGGTTCCAGCCACCCAGCAGATCTCACCACTTCGTCTGCTCTTATATATCTCTTCTGTCTGTACTGGAAGGGGTCTGTACAGAAGGGGTTCCAGCCACCCAGCTAGGGTGAACCAGGAGTAATGAACTACAATTCATTACTAGCTGGGTGGCTGGAACCCCTTCTGCTGGATGTTGGATGTTGGTGGGGTGTTTTACGGTATCTGCCGGGTCTGCTGTCTTGTTCTTTCTTTTCCTTTTGTTCTGGTTTGGTTTGTTGTTACCTATTATTTTGTTTTTATATTGCCTGGTGTATTGTGAGCCACCCAGAGTCATTTGGAGCCAGGCAGTATCAAATCAAATAAATCAATAAATTGATCTATCATTTGTGAGTAGTACACGGGTTATTAATTGAGCTGCTGTTCCCCCTGGTTACAATGAATTTCCCATGAACTTTTTTTTTTTTTAATATTGTTTGTTCCGGACCGTTACTTGTGTTGGGCTTCCTTTGGGAAGGAAAAGCGGGGTGTCATGAGATGGAAATGAGATTTCCTTTTGGTCCCACAAAGGCTTCTGCTGCTGCTCCAGAGCTTCACGGGATACACCGAGGGCCTCATCAGCAAGGAAGCTGTGCCCCCATCCCGGGCGGTAGGACCTTCCATGTCCGTTGGGCTGGCTGTAAGGAAGTCCTGGAACAGTATGCTGAAGCTGGGGGCCCTTTATCAGCAGCTGGCGGATGAGGTAGGCAAATGTTCATCTGCTCCTGTGCGGCCAGAGGTGGGTTTCCTCCCTTGGAGTTTCTCCTCTGAATTTCCACAGGCCACACCCCAGGGATAAAGCCGAGAGGAGAATCCTTCTGCTGAACAGGGCAATAGCCCCAAACAGCATGATCCGTCAATCCTCATTACTGCAGAATCCAGAGCAAGGACAGGTTGCCTTTGCTTACAAGCATTGGTCACCACTGTGATCTGGTTCACACACTTGCTGAGCCATAGTACAATCCTAGTTTATTGGGGTATATCCCAATGAGTGGGTTTATGCAACAGGCTAAGCCAAAACCAAATACATCATATTATGGCTTAGCATAACAGGCAAACTTAGTTGTGATATGGATTGCTGATGCCTGCTGTTTGTCAATGGAAGGCAGTTTCAAGTGTTGACAGAGCAGCAAAAAAGATTTTCTAGTAATCTAGTCAAATATTCTGAAGCTGTTTTGTTGATGATGTCAATTCCCAGACTACTTTTCTTCTCCTTTGTTCCTTCCCCTGCCCCCGCTCAGTGTCACTCTGAATGTATTTTATGCGAAATGGTCTGCAGCATTTGTGCAACCCTACAAGATGAATGTATTATTTATATTTGTTTGTTGAATGCACCAGACGCAAAATAATAAATGGTTTATACTAAGAAGCTAATGGCTGCCTTTTTCTTTTGTGCCTAGAAACAGTACACCAAAGACAACGCTTCTAGTCTAAAATGTTCCTTCCAGGCCACAAAAGCTGAGAATGAGCGTGTAAAAAGTGGGTCTCCTGAGTCAGATCTGACTTTGCGCAGCTTTCAATCTTCCCCTTTAACCTATTCGACTAGCAGCAGGCTGCTGGACCATGCCCTCAGTGCCTGCTCTGATCACAAGTCAGCTTATGATGCTCTTCTGCCTGCCCGGAGTGTCCACTCGCAGACAATTGAGAGCTCTTTGGTGCCCTGCGATGCATGTGAAAGCACCCAGGTCAGCCTCCAGGAAGTGGGAAAGTCCATTATTGCCATCTGCAACACCCTGAACATCCCTTCTTCCCTGGGCAAGTTCCTCAGGTTAGTGCAGGAAAGCCTTGGTAGCAAGCTTCTCACAGCCACAGATGTCAGCTACTGGGCCACCGAGCAGAGCAAGGACCTCTCCCGGATCAACAAGCATATCCAGATGGTGATGGGACTCATTAATCCTTTGAAAGGAGAATTGGAAGAGTCTGAGAAGCAAAAGGACGAGCTGAAGAAGCAGCTGGAGAACCTGGACAGTTGTCTGCAGAAGGAAAAAGATGCCAAGAGGGAAGAGATCAAGCTGGTCTTACAAAAAAAGGAGAGAGAGGGCCAGCAACTGGTGGCTGAGCTGCAGAGGGCGAAGGAGGACGTTGAAAAACGTGAATATCTCTCCTGTCCCTCTCTTTAAGCCCCGCTTTTTGATACTGATCCAAGCTTAGGCATGTAGGTTGGGAAGGCTTTTGAAGGTCAGCTCTTCGCCTGGTTCTCACAGAGCAAGCTGTCCTTTCTTCGAGAGAGATGAGAAATTGCTTGGGAATGCAGTTACAGGGTCCACTGGAGGATCAAGAGCTGAGTGCAAAAACTGCCTCTTTCACAGCTCATTCCCAAGCACCTGGCATCTAGTTTTCATGCCTCCAGAAACCGAGGTGATGTTTAAGCATTGTCACAAGTATAAATAATAAAGATGATGTTGATGATGCTCAGAATTTTGCAATTGACAGTATAAGCGTTTTCCCACTTTTAGTCCCCAATCCAGAATTGCTCCTCTCTTCTCAAAATGGCTTCCCCTTTTCGCTGGTATTAATTAATTAATTACATTTGTATGCTGCCCATCTCCCCCAGAAGGTGTTCAGTGTGCTCTTCTAAAGAATCAATCATGTGACTTCTTTTAGGAGCTGTTTCTCTGGAGAAAAATCTCTCGAACTTGAAAGAAAAGCTTCAGGCACAGGAAGCCACCATCCAGGAACTGGGTAAGAACACCTGCACACTAAATTGGGATGATGTTTCTAGATTCAAAAAACTTCATGTTCTCTTGGAATCTCAACATTCAGCCTATACAATGAATCAGAATTTTGTTCCCTGCGTTGCTGTGATGCAATGTATCTATGAAGGGGAGGGTGATGTGATAGACAGCAGCAGAGAGCAAGGCTATCAGGAAGGAGGGGGTGCATTCCAGGAGGGGGGAGGAGACAAAAGACAACACAGTCCAGAGCAGGAGTATGGGAAGCATAGGAGATTCAGGATAGCCACTCCCTAGAATCCCCCAGGGTATATCCACTAGTTGCTGTAGTACAGATTGAGTCTGGCAAAATTCTGTCTATAAGGTGTAAGCAAATAAAGGAACTGAACTCAACTGGACTGTTTCACTGTTGTTCTTGGGCTGGGCCTGACAGTTGCACATGGGGAAGATGGAGGCCATAAGGTGCCCAGTAGAAGCCACCATGACATCATGTGCATCATTACATCATCACCCAAACGACAGAAATTATGTACTTTGCATGCGACGTCATGATACACACGATGTCCCTCCCTGCCCCCACTCTCTGTGACCTGAGTGGCAAGCTGTACTTAATCTGGGGGTAAACACCTCCTTGGCCTATAGATGGTCCCAGTTTGGTCCTTGTTATCTTCAGGTAAAATGTATTGAAGACCATGAAGAACTTCTGACGTGCCAAGCAGGTTTTGATTTAAGTGTATTTGTTGGGTTTGGGTTGATCTTAATGTATATTACAAAGCAGGAGAGTGGCAGTCTGTCCAATATAATGAATAGTGATGTTCACTGGGTGTGTTGGACAGGCGTTCCCATCATCTGATAAGGCAGCTAACCAGTGGGAATTCTGGGAGCGCCCAAGACATCTGGAGGGACAATTGGTATAGACACCAATTTTTTGACTTTAAAAATAAGCAGGCTGAGCCGCTGTTGATTGGTTTGCTGATATGAACTGTGCAGAAGTCCTGTGGCCTGGTCTTTGCACAGAGGCTCACCTAAACCAACCTTTACATCTGGCATCAAGACCTTTCTTCCTAAGCATTTGCGATTTGGTTTTTACAGTGCCCTTTCACCTGTTGCTTTGATGTTATTGATGCCATTGTTCCTATTTTATAGTACAGGTAGTCCTCGCTTAATGACCACAATTGGGGCCAACAGCTCCATTGCTAAGCAACATAGTGAAACATCACATGACTATGCTGGACTAATAACCTCAATTTCACCGCAGTCATTAAGTGGGTCGTTAAGCAAGATATCACATGACTGTGACTTGCGATTTCACTGCCAGCTTCTCTGTTGACTCTGCCTGTCAGAAGCTGGCTGTGAAGCTCACAAATGATGATCACATGACCGCAGGATTCTGCAATGGTTGTAAATGTGCACTGGTTGTGAAGTGCCCAAATTTTGATCACATGACCATAGGGCCACTGCCACAGTCGTAAGTGTGAGGACCAGTTGTAACGTTATTTTTTCAGTGCCATTGTAGCTTTGAACAGTTGCTAAACAGGGCAGTCATTAAGCGAGGACTACCTGTATGTATATCTTAACCTCTTTATACTCTAATTGCTATGTTACTATGTCTGCCTTATATTAACTACATTAATACTTTAATAAACAAGGACATAATTCAGTTTTATAAGTAACAGAAAGCTCTTCAAATGCATAAGCACAGTCAAAGAAAAAGATGCATTAAGATAGCATTCCTATATGCACCTGGGTGGAAATCCCTTTCAACTCCAAGGGCCTCAATTCCAAACTGGCATGCATAAGATAGCCTTGATAAATCCATTGTTAAAAAACCAGTACCCTCAAGGCTCTAGTCCGGTGTACCATTGCTTAAACTTTGAGCCTGAGGTAACGGGCACGGTCTTGGGGCAGAACCACCGTTGCCTCTACATTTGCGCATATGTAAGAAGGGGCCTCGGGGGTCTGCCTGGGATCTGAAATGAGCCCCTCCGTTGTTTCCGCCCCAGGCTCCTGAACTGTTGTGCCTTTCACAGAACAGGCCAGGAGTGATCTGCAGCAGGAGATGAAGTCCAAGATGGTGGCCAAGAGCGAGGTGGAGAAACGGGAGGAGCAGCTGGAGATCCTTACCAGCCAACTGCAGAGAGCGGAGCAGCAGCTGAACGGGACCGCTGTTGAGCTCAATAAGGAAAGGGCCAGGGGGGAAAGCATGCTCCAGCACAAAGAGGTGAGGGGGTGCTTGTCATCCGTTGACCAAGGAGCAGCTGTGTCCTTCCCTTTTCTCATGAACATTTTGCATGGTTAGCATTCAGAAGGGAGACCCCCAGGAAATTTCAGGGTTGTAAGTTAGACTGGGAAGTGGAAGAAGGAATGAAAAGCCACCTCTGCCTTCTTGCCAAGAAAAATATGGGATGGGTCCGTGAAATGACCTGGAGCTGAGCTCAACTCAAGGGAGACTTGACTTTCTGTGAAAGCTCTTGAGGCGGCTGACAGTAAACAAAAAGCAATTCGCTGGCCAACCGAGGATGGCTGCTTTTCCTTGAATTTTAGCCCCATAACGATCCCTCCGCCTCTCCCTGCAGTCCCTCCAGGCCAAGCAACGGACGCTAATGCAGCAGCTGGATAGTCTGGACCAAGAATGCGAGCAGCTGAAGACCAGCCTGGCTGACGGGGAGGATGACCGGCAGATGATGAGGGAGCGGTTGAAGGAGGTCCAGGAGGAAAAGTGGGAGATCCAAGGCCGGCTGGAGGCCCAGAAGGTCTGGGGAAAGGCAGTGGGGTAGGAACTTCAGCTAGAGCAGACCATGTGCCCTGTGGCCAGATTTAGGTTGTGTCCTTCCAACAGAGGAGAAAGCCCAAGCTGGTGCAGATGAAAGAGAGCCAGCCAGGGGCCCCTACGTCACACCCAGGGTGCCGAGCAACTTGCCTGGCCCTTGGCCCGGCCAAAGTGCAGTAGAAGATTTGCTCCTCATTTCATCTGTAGAGCATATTCTTTAATGTTTTCTTTGGGATCTTGTGAATCATATTCAACGGCCCTGCAAGTCCAAATGCACTTTTGGGGTTCAGAACAGTTTAGAGCAACCCGGTACCCCTGGAATCTCTCAGAAGTGTCTTTCTCAGCCTTCTAACAGGCATCATGACTGGGATGAGGGGCAGGGTAGTCCAGTATCCCTCAGGCCCAGGGCAGCCATCTCTTGCTCACACAGTCAAGAGCTGCGGGCTGTACTCTTAAGAGCGGCAATCCATGATCAGTCGACCAGGGGCTTCAGAATTGCGTGGGTCCTCCTAAAGTTCTAAGAGAGGTTCGGGAATAGCATTGGAAGGCGTTGGCTTGGCTGTAGACAGCGCCCGACTGGCAGACCCGGGTGCAGGTCTGCTGATGCTATATCTCTGCAGCTTGAGGGGGTCCCAGTCCTATAATCTGGGCAGGAACAGAGAGTATGCAGGCCAATTATACTGAGGTGGATCAGAGTTTTCTTGCCCCCTGCCGTCTCCCCAGCAAAGGCCATTGTACAGTTGGATCGCTTTAAAGTTCGAGGAACGGGGAGGATGACCGGCAGATGACTTCCTCTTTAAAACAGCTTTTAAATCTTCACCCTCATCCTCACAGACCCATTTCAGACTGCGGTTGCTCCTCTGCTGCACAGAATTGCTTCCCCATAAAAAGTTAGATTGAAGAGAGAACTATTTCAGCCCAGCCTTCTTCCCAACATCTTTTATCGCCTTGTTAAGCCATAATGTGGTGTTGGTGACTGTTGCTGGTATTACTCTATTCAAGTAACACGTTATTTATTTAGCGTGGCTTCTTTGGCTCTATCTAGCTTAGTGCACCAGGCACACATTAGTGACATGCCTGGCTAGTTCTGAGGCTGGGCTGAGTCTCCATCTCCCCGTGGGACCTCTGCTGTAGAGTTCAGGAAGCTGGCGAGTTGACCTGCCCTGCTCTCTCCCCCCCGCCAGAAGCTTACTGAGAAACTGAAGCAGGAAAAGCTGAGCCTGGAGCAGTCCATGTCTGAACTGAAGAGGACCATCTCTGAATTAGGAAAGCTGATCCATGAGATGAAGGAGAAGGAGAAACTTTTGGTGTTCTTCCCAGATCTTCATGTCCCTGTCGAGACCCAGTTTGAAAGTAAGCCCCAGGCTGAAGCGGAATGCCCATTAAGAGCTGCGATCTGGATTCAGATCAGGGGGGCTGGCGGAGTTATCACCCCGCGAGGTTAACCTGGGTTAACAAAACACATCTGCTGGGGGTTCAAAATAGGCTATGCCCAATCAAATAAGCACTGTTATAGCCCAGGACACTGCACCAAAACTCTCCAGCCTCATTTCAGCCTGAACATAGTGCCTCATCTGTAGAATAGGAACAAGGGTGACTCATTAGAAGTGACAGTATTAAGGAGAAAAAACAGTGTGCATACAAGAGATTATTTTTTTAAAGATGCTGTGCCTAGGAGAGATTAAAGTTGGATGCATTCCAGCACAGAAAGTCTCTTCCTTCTGAATAATTTTGCTGAACAGCCACTGAAGTCAAACATATGTGATCCCAAGCCTTCATTCATTCATATTGATTCATATATGTGGTTCCCATGATATCAACAAAGCCATAATATGGTTTGCTTTTGGCTCAGTGCATTGTACAAGCTCAGGCCGTTGAGACTTAGTGCAATAGGTGAACCCCAGTCACAGATTATTCAAGATTCTGGCAGACAAAAGGCCCATGTTATGGCAAACCTATACAGGTAGTCCTCGTTTAATGGTCACAATTGAGAGAATTTAGGTCGCTAAGCAATGCAGTTTTTAAGTGAACCGGACCCAATTTTATGATCTTTTTTGCGGCGGTCGTTAAATGAATCACCATAAGCATTAAGTGAATCACATTAAGTGAATCCTGTGGTTCCCTATTTTGCTTGCTGGAAGTCAGCTGGGAAGGTCACAAATGATCACATAGTCCTGGGACACTGCAACCATCATAAGTGCAAGTTGGTTGCCAAGCGCCCAGATCATGATCACGTGACTGTGGGGACGCTGTGACAGTCATAAGTTCAGGAACCAGTCATAAATCACTTTTTTTTAGTGCCATTGTAACCTCAAATGGTCACTAAACGAATGGATGTTAAGCAAGAACTACTTGTATGTGGTTCTTTTTGGGTATTCAGAGCACTTCACCAACATCATCACAATAATCTTTGCAACAGCTGCATCAGGTTGGTCCATGGTTGTTATCGTAGAGAGAAGAGAGAATTGAGGCATGCCCACTGAGTAAGTTTGGTGGTGAACCCTGAATGGGGCAGAGTGCACCATCTGTTAGGATGCCAGTTGTACTGGCTATCTGAGCCTGTAAAATGCTGTGCTGAGGGCCAGCCCACCACTGTAGAATGCCCCAAACCATAGCAAAACCTCTTTTTCCCTGGCCAATCCTATGCAAAGGGCCAGCCCGGGACTTCCAGCCATCCCTTTTAGCACAGCAATTCCAAAGTGCCCACTCCTTCCACTCTGGCACGGTCTCCAGCTTTGCTTGCTTCTTTGCAGCCACCGGAGATGTCACGGAAGACATGGGGAAGCAGCTCCAGGCCAACAACATCCGCATCAGCATCCTGGAGGAAGAGAACTCGCGCCTCCGAGGTGCTATAACCAAAATGAAAGAGTCAGCCCAGAAGGAGGCCCAGAAGGTACATGAGAGCGCCCAGGTTGTCTGGGGGTGGGGGTCATAAGGCACCAAGCTATCAGCAACGTGGACAGCAGGTGCCAAGAGGAAACACCATTGTTCCCAAGCAGCAAGAAGTTCAGATAGCAACCCCGGGTTTGACTTTCTTTTGGGTGAAAGAAACCCCTGGGGGCTTCTGTGTGGTATATACTTGCAAATATCTGTCAAAGCAGAAGAGACACCAGTGTTAAGCAGCCCAATTACTACATTTGTGGGGTTCCCATTGAGTTGTGTGTAAATGTCCTTTGCCTCCATGGTACCATCTTGTCTTTGGTAGTCTGCAGCCTCCCTTTGACAGCCTGCAACTTCCCTGTCTGCCCACTTTTCCATTAAATCCCCAGGGAAGACTTCAGAAGGATCTCTTCCCAGTGGGCGTTTTGAGTAGCAGAGTTACTGTGATCGGCAAGGAGAAATTCTCTCTTCTTAGGAATGTGTGGAGAATCTCTCCTTCCCTAGAGAGAACGTTCAGCCAGATGTGGGTTCCAAAGGAATTCACTTGTCCCCAGCTGTTCTCCATCATGACCAAGAAACATGATACTCCTGCAGACCTTGGATAGTGTCAACAGAAGTGCCTTCCTTCCATCTCTAGGATACTGACGCCTAACAGGGAATTCCTCTCTCCGTAGTTTGTACTTCCAATCCAGCTGTGGATTCGGTCTGCCGAAAAAACTGGTCACCAAGACAGTGAGATGCATCCTCCTATGGGGTGAGTGGGCTGGCACAGAGGGCTTCGAAAACACGGGATCCCTTTCAGGGATTTGTTAGAAATGGGGGCAGGCTGTCTTCCGTTGGCTTCTCTGATGGCTCCTTTTGCAGATACCCCGGAGGGACCAGCTTTCAGGGACAGGCTTCCAGGCCTCCGACCAACAGCAGCACCACGGGAAGCGCAGCCCGAAGCAGATCTCGGAACAGTCCTGCCATTTGCAAAGACGGTCCTGTCTCCCATCGGACTTCCAGCAACAAGTTGCCAAAGCCGCCCTTGGGGGATACTACACGGGAGGCAGCATTCAAGTTTTCGTACAAGGAGGCAGGAGGCAACAGTTACTCCCGAGGAAAAGAGAGAGGCAGGAATCCGCCCCCGCCAGGCTACTGTACCCGCAACCACCAAAAATAAAGACCCTTCAGAGAAGCGCATTCAGAAGGATGCCAGGCGCATCGCTGGGGCCTCAGAGGTGCAGTGCAGGGGTGTGGTAGCAGGGAAGCAAAATGCTGGATGACCCCATGGGAGAAACAGGCTTGGAAACCTCCCGCTGTCCCCGTCATTGACTGAACATAGTTATAAACTTTGTGATGGGAACTCCTCTGGCTGGCCTTCCCTCTTTACTAGGTTGCAGGGCAAGGAGTGGACAGCGGAGGTCTGGATCAGGGCCTTTGTCATCTAGCACGAGTCTTCCCTCGCTTTCTTTGCAGCATAAAGCCTTCACGGCCCGCCCTTAAAAAACAGCCACCCCACATTGGAAGTTGGGTTTAACAAAATATACACGCTTTCCTTTTGTATTTGTGTTCGAGATTATAACTGTCCAGAAAAAAGGCTGACAGAAAGGGAATTGACTACTTCCGTAAGTGTATTGTTTCTGCACCACTGGAGAGGGATGCCCTGGGGGGGAGGGGGCAGGAACAGAAGGGTCTCTTGTAGATCTTAAGGCAGAGTGAAAAGTGGAAATACCCACGAATCCCTAGCCAGAAGCTGGGACAGAATGTCACTTTTGCATGGCCTTCCTCTTTCTTGAGAATAATATATTCCAGGTTGCTTCTGTCAGTGGCGGAGGAGTGGCAGAGCCACGAGCTGTGTTCATTTGGAGAGAACCTACTCTTTCACCTGATTCCTATAAGCCATGCTGGTTTTAGCTTGGTTCAAGACGTCAATCCAGCTATTTCAGTTTAGTGTTATGCACGAATCAGGCTGTTCCATAGTCTGTTTTTAAAAAGACCTAACTGAGCGTCATGCGCATTTCAAAACCTTTTCTTAACTTGGCTGATATTAGCCAAAACACCATGGGGCAGCCATCTGATCCTTCCAAACTGCCAAACAGAGTAAGATGGAACCACCACATTCAGAAAATCTGTACTGCTGTTAAAAGTGTATTTCTAGCTCTTACAACTCCAAAATAGGCATGGAACTTTCTGACCAGCCAGTTGCATTAATTGCTGAATGCTTTACTTCACCTTTCCTGGAAGCAGAATGGCTTGAAATATTTTAAATTTAAATGAATTTTTGATTGGTGGATTATATGCCATCAAGTCATTTTTGACTCCTAGCAACCATATAGATTTTCTCCATGATGATCTGTCCCTAACCTGGATCTTCAGCTCTTCCAATGGTGCACCCATTGCCACTGTAACTGAGTCCATCCTTGTTCCTGGTCATCCTCTTCTTTTTCCTTCTACCTTTCCCAGCATTTGAACCTTTTCCAGAGAGCTGGGTCTTCACATAAGGCGTCCAAAGTAGGATAATTTGAGCCTGCTTATTTGTGCTTCAAGTGAAAACTCTGGTTTGATTTGTTCAATGATCCACTTGTTTGTTTTCTTGCCTGTCCATGGTATTCTCAGGAGTATTCTCCAACACCAAAATCCAAAGGTGTCAAGACTTTTCCTATCCTGCTTCTTTATAGTCCAACTTTTGCTCTCGTAGAGTATTACAAGGAAAACCATGCCTTGCACGATGCTGATCTTTGTAGGTATAGACCCATCGTGGCATCTGAGTATCTTTTCCAAGGCCTTCACGGCTGCTCTACTGAGTACTAATCCATGGCATATTTCTTGACTGCTTGTTCCTTTACTGTTGATGGTTGAGCCTAAAAGGCAGAAGCTCTCCACCACTTCGATGTCTTCATTGCCAATTCTAAAGCTGGTTGTTCTATTTGTTGTCTTTAGTTTGGTCTCCTTTATATCTTAGTCCCATTTTTTCACTGCACTCTTAGTTTTAGTACTAGGGCTTGCAGATCCTTTGTATTTTTGGTGATTGGGATAGTATCATCAGCATAGCCTAGATGATTGATGTTTCTTCCTCCAATTTTAAAACCACGCTCAATCCAGCTTCCCATAATACATATTCAGCATATAGGTTGACTAAATAAGGGGAGAGTGTGCAGCCTTGTCGCACTCCTTTGCCGACCTGGAGCCAGTCTGTTTCGCCACGTTGTGTCCCTACTGTGGCTTCCTGACCTGCATATAAGTTTCTCAGAGGTCACTGAGATGTTCTGGGATTCCCATTTTTCTAAGCACTTTCAACAGCTTGACTTGATCGACACAATCAAAGGTGTTTCTATAATCAATGAAGCACAAACTGACTGATTTTTGGTATTCTTTGGCTTTCTCAACTATCCAGTGTGCATCAGCAATAATTTCTTGTGTTCCTTGGGCTTTTCTAAAGCCAGCTTGAACATCTGGCCTCTCTTTTTCCATGTAGGACTGTAATCTGTGTTGGATGATCCTAAGCATCATTTTGCTAGCATGTGAAATTAAGGATATTGCACGATAGTTTGCACACTCTGTTAAATTTCCTTTTTTTTTTTTTTTTGGTATTGGAATGTAGATTGACCTCTTCCAATTGGTTGCCCACTGTGTCCTTCTCCAGATCTGCTGGCATAGCTTTGTTAGAACCTTGACTGATTCTTCTGTTGCTCAGTGATATTCCATCAGTTCCTGTGGCCTTCTGACTTGGCAATGACTGGAGTGCTGATCTAACTTCATCTTCTAGTACTAGAGGTTCTTGTAAGTAAGGAATATCTTGTAAGCTATCTTGGATGTTGACATCTCTGCTGTACGGTGTTTCAGTATACTCCTTCCATCTTCCTTTGATCTCCTTTGAATTGGTTATTATCTGTCCATTGGCGCCCTTTACCATACCAGGGTTAGAACCTCCTTCTGAGTTCAGAGATCTTTTGAAATACTTTGTTTTTCATCTTCGATGTCTTTACAGAAGTTGTTGTAATACTTGTAACAGCTCTTTGAAACTCTTAAGTTCCTTTCTGAGATCTTTGTCTTTCTTGGCCTTCCCTTCCCTTCCCCTTCCATGGTTCGCTGTGACATCCAGTTTGCTTTCTTTTTTCTTTTTTGGCAATCTCTTTTCACATTCACCTTAACGACTTCTTTAAGTCCATTCCATAATTCCTCTGGTTCTCTTATCAATGAAGTTCAGGACTTCAAAGCGATCCCTGACGTTCTCCTTGAAAATGGTAGATATATGTTCAAGATCGTATAGTGGAAACTGACTGGCTTTCTTCTTCTTCAGCTTAACTTGGAGCTTGCACGTGACCAGTTAGTGATCTATTCCACAGTCAGCACCCAGCCGTGTCCTTGATGCTATAACTGAGCTCTTCCATGGCAATAATGCAGTCAGTGAATTAAAAGAATTACAATTCAACTAAAACCACCACCCCAGCTGTAACCTTGAGACAAGTAAAAGCTAGTCAGGTACACCACAAGACTACTACTAGCTGCCGCCTTCTAACCAAGCCAGACTGAGACCCCTGTTCTCCACAAATTCCATTATAACACCCTATGGAATTAATTCCTCAACAGGACTACAAGTGTGCCAAGACAGATAAATCAAAAATTTCCATGAGTCAAACACACTTCTGAAGAGGGTTTCTGCAGTATCCCTGTGTGATTCTCGGGCCTGGCCCTATCTCCTTCTGGTTGGCTTCTGCTGGGGCACCTGAAGCCCGTACTTAATGTGGCTTCTTCCAAGGCCTTTACACAGGGTGGGCCTGCGCCTGAACCACTGCTCTGGGCTAGTGTCCAGTCAAGGCAGACCTAGTCAAGAAACTCTTGAGAAAATATGAGAAAGCTGGCTCCTTTTAAAGACAGAAACATTTTAAGGAATGGCCATTCAGGAAAAAGAAATAAATACACTGTGGTTTATTCTGCCCTCTCTATACCAAACGGCCGTTATCTGCAGAGAAACTTGCGAACCAGAGCAGGGATTCTCCTTGAAATAACCAAGTGGGGACTTCAGCCTCCTGTGGACAGAGATGGGGTCAGGCCATAAAATGTTTAAAGACACAAACCCAGCATCCTCAATCAACCGAAACAGTATTTCCAGAATGGGACTCTCTTATTCAGATGTTTGGAGATTCCTGCCTCCCACAACTATTTCCTTTCCAGACTAACTGAAAAGGGAAGGAGGAAACGTAGTTCTCCAGACAAGGAAGGAGCAGGACAAGAAAAGAACCAAGGGGCAGCTGTCTGAGTTTGCTTGATTTTTTTTTAATTAGTACAAGTGGCTTATATACATCCCAACACAGTCTGGAATATCTCAGCCCTTTCTGAGATGGCATTCCAGTACCTCCACAGCCCTTACCTCCCCCCTCCCTTGCTCAAATAAGTTAGTATAAATAAGGAAACATTTCAAACCTCCCTCCCACCCCGCCCAGCAAGTTGAACCTTGTTCTTCCCTTGCAAATTGTCGAAAAAAGGGTCATTTGGGAAACTTCAAGCAGCACCCCTTGTCCTCCTTCCTTCACAAGGTGAGGACCTCGCGTGGGCTCCCAGAAGGGCAGGTTCACCCCAGCTCAGATCCAAGCTGCACAAAATGTTTGGGGAAAACACACCACAAAGGGAGTGGATTTCAGTCCAGGGGCAGGGGGAGAGGATGCACAAAGAGGCCCAAGGAGAGGCGAACGCATTATTTTACAGATACACACTGCCCTTCCCATCCTGACAGAACCCAGAGCGCAGAGAACCTTGCTGCCCAAAGCCACCCCAGAGGCAACCCAAGACTCTACAGCAGGGTTTCTCAAGCTTGGCAACTTTAAGACGTGTGCCATTCGACTCGTGCTGGCTGGCAAATTCTGGGAGTCAAAGTCCATGCATCTTAAAGTCGCCAAGCTTGAGAAACCCTGCTCTTGGAAAGGTGCTCCCTCCCTTGGGGAGCAGGAAGAACCGGTCTTGCTAGCCTTCTCAGCAACGGTTTCCTGAAAGGAAGACAAAGAGAAAGGAAAAAAAAGGAAGAAGACTTTGTTAGAAGGGCAGGAAACCCAGGGCCAGCTTCTTGAGTGATGGTAGCAGGGAGAGATGAGCAACTGGCCTTGAGAACTCACTGTAAGGCAGGGTTTTTCAACCTTGGCAATGGTGAAAGATGTGTGGACTTCAACTCCCAGAATTCCCCAGCCAGCAGAAGGAACATCTGGATGTTCTTTCATGGCTGGTAGGGAACAGTATTGTGGCCAAAGACAATGTCAGCTAGTCAGCCAAGCCATGCCATGTTCACCTTCCAAACAATCTTTAAGATGTGTGGACTTCAACTTTCAGAATTCCTGACTGGCTGGGGAATTCTGGGAGTTGAAGTCCACATGTCTTCAAGTTGCCAAGGCTGAGAAACCTTGCTGTAAGGGGAACATCCATCCAAATGGCCACAGAATGCTTTTGTTCCTAAGTGGAAAGCATGCTTGGTGTCTTTAAAAAAAAAAAGCAAACTGCTTCTAAAAATACAGGGCACCCTCCCATCCTGAGAAACAGTGGCTACTAAAAAAAATAACGTGCCCTTAAGCAGCAGGAAAGTCAGAATATCTCCTCTCCCACCAGCCTTCTTTTAAAGCCCACTGGAAGTTGAGACATGACAGTGACCCCCTCCTGGCTTTCCATCCTGAGTTTGAAACTGGCCAGAAAGGTGTGGTTCTGCGTAGCTGTTGGTCATGGAAGCTGGTAAGAAGAACCTGTGCTGCCCCCCCCCCCCCCAACTCCCAGTAACTCATATTGCTGAATTTAGCCTTGAAGCAAGGAATATTTCAGGATGCAAGGACAGTGCAAGGACCGGTATGAAAGAGCTTTGAAATCTGGGGCCAGGACCCAAGTTCTCAAAGCTGCTTTTGATACTGGGACAGCCCCAAGATATCCTCGAAATACACAGAATGCCAGGTGAGCCAACCGCTGCACATCTGGCAGTGAAAACTCCAACTTCCACACCAACTCAGGGCAGCTGGGCCTGACACTTCCACAGCTCTACCCTGGAGAAAATGGAAAACCACAGGGCTCTCTCTCTTGTTCCCACAAACTCACTCACTCAGGGTCCTTTAGGCCAGTGTTTCTCAACCTGGGCAACTTTTAAGATATATGGACTTCAACTCCCAGAATTCTGGGAGTCGAAGTCCACACATCTTAAAGTGACCCAGGTTGAGAAACCACTGCTTTAGGCAAACTTTTCTGGCATATTTATTGATCAATCCCCCCTCTGGTTCTGCAGCTGAATGTTGAAAGCAAGGTCAGAACGTCTGAGGAGCAGTTGACTCTCCCCCCACAGGGCTCTTACCGAGAACGTTGTGTTTACAGAGGGGGCAGGTCTGCTGCAGGAGAAGCCAGGGGTCCACGCAGTCGCGGTGAAATTCGTGCAGGCAGGGCAGCACCCGGAGACACTGTTGGGCAAAAGACCTACTCAGGAGCTGCAGGAGGGAGCCAGATGCCCAGCCATCCTCCCTCTTGGCAAGAGTTGCTAGTTCCTCCTGGCCCGAGGGATCAGGAAGTCATCGGCTTGGTTCCTAGCCACTTTTAAAGAGAAAGACCTCTAGCTAAGAAATCCCAGCTCAATCTCAGCATCGCCTCCAGTAAGAAGGGCCAGGGAACCATGATGGAAAGATCCTAGGTTTTGACCAGCCAGCCCTCTGACCTGTTCCTAGTCATACGTTCCAACCCAGTGTTTCTCAACCGTGGCGACTTTAAGACATGTGGACATCAACTCTCAGAACTCCTTGCCAAGGTTGAGAAACACTGTTCCAACCTATCAAATTTGCCATGTGTCAAAGCAACAACCGAAAGCCGTATTTCCCAACCTCAACAAGTTTAAGATGTGTGGACCTCAACTCCCAGAATTCCCCAGCCCACGTGGGGAATTCTGGGAG